TACTATTGCTGCTATTGACGGAGATGGTGCGATGATGATGGTGATGATTTTATGATGATCAATCACTGGGTTAAAGATGGACAGTCTATACGTAAGACTCAGCTTACGATAGCTGCTTCCGAAAACCATGCGCGATTCACCTGAACACTTTTTTTAACTCGAGAGCGATGGAAACGCGGTAAAAAAAACGAGTGTCGTATGAAGAGACCAGGACGCTGTTAACTGGCTCAGCGCTCGATACGGAATGTACGTTGTGATGTTTTACTAATGTTTTTTTTTTCTTTTAGATTATACACCTATTACCATCCATATTAATATATTTTGAACGTTCTAGGTTCTCCAAAACCAGCTTTGACACGTAAATCGCAACTGATACGAGTTGTTACAGTTGAGGTAGCTGCTGCATTGAACCGCTGTAAAGTTAGTGATCGAAATGCTGTGTTTCTAATATCATCGATCGCTAAAGCTTTAGGGCACGATGTTTCATCATTATTGTTGAACAAGGAATCTGTCAGAATCGCCAGAGCAGGAATTCGCTTACAAATGCAACATGATTTAAAAGCGTCGTTTAAGCCAGATATAAATTTAACAGTACAGTGGGATTCTAAGCTGCTACCTAATTTATTACCATCCAAAGCTCTACCAAAAACCGAGCGCTTGGCCATAGTTGTATCAGGCGAAGGCATTAGCAAATTATTGGCTATTCCACCCATCGAAAACTCTACGGGGGCACAACAAGCAGAAGCGGTGTACAATGCAGTCGTCGAATGGGGGCTTGCGGACAGGTATGATCTTAAATCTTGTATGTTCTCACCTTAGAATTCTGACTATTTTATCGTTTGTTTTCAGAATTATGTTTATATCTTTTGATACTACTGCATCAAACACCGGTAGAAAAAAGGTACGTGTCAGTACCTGGACAAATTGTTTAAAAGGCAGCTTATAGGCCTCCCTGGTAGACATCACATACATGAACTGGTACCTGGCAAAGCTTTTAAAATTCTGAAATTTGAAACGTCAAAGTCTCTAAATGTTGAGATTTTTAAGGAATTCCAATCAAAATGGCACATTTTGTAAAAGACTTCATTCCATTCAGGTATGGATGATGATTGTTTTTAAAATAGCTATGTCGGAAATAGAAAGATTGGCGTTATTGGAGTTTTATGAAAAACAAATTAGAGAGCAACACCACCGTGGTGATTACCGAGAGGTTCTACAACTTGCCATTTTATATTTGGGTAGAAAAATTGATGAAAAATTACAAATAAGAGCTCCTGGTGCGTTTCACAATCCAAGGTGGATGGCCAAAATCATTTATTCTTTGAAAATGTTTATTCTTCGGCATGAATTTGCTTTGCCAGATAAAACTAAAAATCAACTAGCTCGATTTTGTGTGTTCATTGTAAAAAATTATTTGAAAAGTTGGTTTCTTTCTCCGTGTGCTGCGATGGCACCCAACAACGATCTGAACCTGTTAAAAATATTGAAGGAGTATGAAACTGTTGATGAATATGTTGCGAAAGCAGTACATAAAGGAATTTTAACTCACTTGCAATATTTGGACAACAGCCTTATCGGACTATGTCTGTTCGACGAAAATGTAGACCTCCCGGTTAAGAAAAAGGTCATCGAAGCCTTACTTCTATCAGGTAAATGCTTTATTTGATACATTTGCATTTAATTTTCTAATGATTTTTTTTTACAGATACTCATAAAAACATTACAGCCAGATCCATTGTTGAATCCAACGATATTTCAACGATTGAACTACACTCGTTTGTACAAGGCAGCAGTGGTATTGAAAACTTATTCAAAGCTCTCGAAATTCTGAAGTCGTTGCTGAATGTCGATATGGAGCAGTGGAGTAGTTCCATCGAGTTTAAAAAAGCCAAAAGACGGGTTCAATGTTTGGAAGTAGTTAATGATAATGCAGAGCGTGGTATAGCATTGATTAAAACATACAATTCAAAACTATCAACGGATGAAGATCAAAAGCAGTGCATTTTACAATTAGTTGAAGATCATCGAAAAAGTTATAAGAGTACCAGGAAATCTGATTTGGTGTAGCTTATAAGGAAATATATGGCAAAGTATAAAACAAGTATTTTTTATCTTTTCAGGCAAATGTTTTTTTTTTCCTTGGTTTGTTTTCCGTCGATCTTGTTTTCCGTGCTGAGCACCAATGCTACCGACGCCAGCGAGGCAGCTCCCACACCTGGACCCTACCTATCGACTCATCAACTCATGAACCGGGGACCAACGCGTTTACTTCACTTCCGAAGGAAGACGTGATCAGAGATGTTATGCCTCACGACATCCCGGCAACGCCGACTGGGATTGAACCCAGGCCTGCTGGGGTGAGAGGTAATCACGCTTACCACTACACCACCGACGCCGCTGAGGCAAATGTTCCTCTTGTGTAAAACTCATGATTCCCAAAAAAAAAAACAGATTAACGCAATTCAAGATATTTTTATAATTGATTTTAGGAATTTCTGATGAAAAGTTGTGGTTTTTCATATATTTTTGAATTTTTGGACCACCCTAATGAAGAATAATTGGACCATCCTAGTGAATTATTTCGTATTAGATCCTAAATGGTGGTTTAATTCGATATATAAGCAGGTTGGAGACAATTGTGAACAGTTTTAGAAGCCGACTCATCGATCTTCTATATTCCATATAGAACTCATGAAAAAAATTCTAAGTTCCAGAAAGTCGATCTTTGAAGAAAAAAAAATTTCAAGATAACACCAAATCTCGACGTTTCATGCATTTTTAAAACATTTGACATCAAAAAAAAATTTTTGATTTCCGAAATTTCTTGGGAGATTTTCGAGAGTGAAAAAAGTCAAACTTTAACGCGTTTGCGCCACCCCTATCATGTTCGATTGAGCTCAAATTTTGCATAGGGTCATTTTTCGAGGCAATAAACATTTTGTCTATGGCTTGTTGGCGAAATTAAAAATTACCATTTTCCCTGGCAGTCTAATGCTCACCCATACCAATTTAAGGTATCGAGATATTCGTTCCTGCTCGGGTTTACCTGTGAATAACAAAAAAAAAACACATATTTGCACCTTTCAAACGCGGGGAGGGGTCTAGCGGAGCAAAACCTACGTCAAAAGTTCTATCCACTATTCCCCTTCAATAAAAGTCAAAATCGGTTGTAAAATCGCTGGGAACGAGCATCTTGAAAAAAAAATCTTGTCCTCGTACTTTACGGGTTAAGGAACACCGTAGGGATAAAAGGCTAGCAAACTTGAGTAGAATCCACCCAGATCAGTCAACACTGAACCTTCTTAAAAAATGGGTAAACTATGTTAGGAGTGACAAGTTGACAAATGAACAAATTCGTCATCTTTTCACTCCCAACATAGTTTATCCATTTTTGGGAAGGTTCAGTTTTGACTGATCTGGGTGGATTCTTCCCAAATTTGGGTAGCTTTGAAGTATCGTGTGATAAAGGACTTCATTATGAATTTACATCCAAGGTTGCAGCAAACATTTGTTTACAAAGGGGCACAATTTGACCAAGAATAATATTAATATCGACTGTATCTTCGCCTTGGAGACGACTGTGTGCCTGTTGGAGACCTAGATTTAGATCTGAATTTGATTTCAGACTTTGCTCGGCATTGGTATCAAAATATAAAATTTTGTTATTTTCAAATTTTGTTTTAAAAAATTTTAGTATTATTTTTTGGTTTTTTACCTCGTATGGCTGAATGACACCAAATTTTGGTATCAGGAGCAGAATTAGGTATTTGTTCGTTATTTCCCCCTGCTTGGGAACGGACTAGTGAGCAATCCAGTGTCTTTAGAACATAGACGTCATCAAAACACATTGTATTGTACAATTAAGATTTCAGATTGTATCAGATATCATAAATAATGTACTTATGGTGAGTACAGCTTTGACAGTATATTGGCAAGGAGATCATGGACGAGGAAGGAAGTGTGGTTTTAGAGCAAATTGTAAACAAATTCGGTGGCTCCTCCAAACAAAAATCTAACATGGTCGAATCATAAATTTGACACATTGAAACACCTATATGTACTCACCTTGGGTTCTACTATTGCCACCCATGAGCAAAACTTTGCTGTACATAGCTACTCGCAAGGAACATATTATTCTACTACATGCCATAACTGGTTTAAATTATCGTTTTCTTCACGTCCATTTCGGATACTGCATCATCCACCTGGGATTCATCCCGACCGACAGCATTATTCCGCTCAAAGGAAAGATTTGTGAAAGATACCTTTAAAAAAAAAACCCCTGATTGATAGCTGCTGCACAGATTTGTTGAAAAGTTTATCTTTTCCAACAACGAAAACTTAGAGTAACGATGATAGCTTCTTGCTTCATCCTCAGGTACTCCCTTTTCCCCGTCTTTTACTTCTTTGAGGAATGAATTATTGAAACATATGCTTCAGCCTCAAAGTTTTCGACAAATTTATGACTTCAATGCAAATCGAGGCATAACTTTTGTGCAGCTGTGAAAACAAGTGTGTTTCAATGCAGTTTGATGGAAGAATTGATTATACTCCGGAGGAAATTTATTTGATTTATTTCTTTTCAGTTCAATTAGATGGATTTTTTTCAAGTAATAATGATCCGTTTTTTTTTTTTCGTTACACACTTTTATTCTAGCGGTGACATCTTGTGTTCGATACTTTTTAATTTTTTGACACATTGCATAACAAATCGAAACAAATTGCGAATATTAAATCAAAAACAAAGTTTTCGCTGGCTATCTCGGAGTTGCGTCAAGATCTTTATAAAAATACAATTTTTAAAACAATTTAAATTTGCAAACATTCACCATTGAACAGATGAAGTTTTTAGCTAAGAACATATAATAGGCCGGAAACGGGGAGGTTATTTGGAGCAGGGCTATCGTGTCTCCCTAATAATTTTGTTGTCTGTATTTCTCATTCGTTCACAAAATATGTTATACGCTCTTGTGCGGTTATTTTATTGTAGTATTATTATGTTATTCTCGTGATGTAAGATTAAACACTTTCGATGAGCACGAAGGGCTAGAAGGAAGCATCTCTTGGATATTGGCAGTTAGCACGTTAGAAGGTGGTCTTGCCAAAGATGAAATTTCCCGGAGCACTTGAGTTATCCGAGGAGAAATACTCGCGCCACAATACAGCAAATTGGTCCCGGTTCACCTCGGTGGCACCCTGTGAAATGAAATAAAAAGGAGAAAGATGGTTATGGCATTTCACTGTGGATCGTCAAGTGCTGATAGAAAAATTATTGAAACGAATCAGGTTCCTGGAAAAAGTATAAAATTTCTAAAATAAACCATTGTCATTATACTTAAATGCCATACATTTGTTGTTCGTTACTATGGCAAACAAAATAATAATAACAATAATGGTAATTATTACAATTCATATTGTATATATAATACAATAAGGAGTAAACGAACTGAGCCTTGAGTGCATCGCTTCGCATGATTGATGAATTTAAGTTACGGTCAGCCAGCAGATGGAAATGATGTGAAAAATGATAATGACGTTTCAAATCGTATGGAATACGTTTAGTACATCATCAGTTTTGAAATTGCAAAACTGAAAACAAGGTGTCGAATGGCCAGTTTTACCTTTGCTTAAATTCATCAATTGAATCAGTCATTTAACAAATGTTGTAGCGCACGGATGTGCATCTGACTGGTCTTTGTTAAAACACATGGCCGAGGTTTGAAACCTCAATCAGGTCACGACAGTTACGTCGAAATAGTTTGTAAGGTCTGTTTTACTTTCTAAATAACGCCTATCTGGGTCGGTGCCGTAAATTTGATCAGTTTGGGACGATCACTGTCGAAACACGGAGATGGGTAAACTACAGAATTCTTCCGGTGGAGTATAAATGAAATGATTGCACTTGAACTGTGTTGATTACACGGAATATTGAGCAGTTAGTTTTTGTTGGTCAGGTACGTTTAACACTTATATTTTTGGACAATAACTGAAAAAAAAGACAACCTTAACAGATAGCCCAACTACCTGCATAATAATTTTGACATAAACACATTCTCTTGATCAAGGCAACCACTGAGTATCGAAGTCAACATTTGTTTTTGTTCATTCGTGGCCGTGGCTGGAAGTTCATTATCGCCTGTGTTGTTGTTTTTATTTAATTAAATCTTCAACATAATGTTGTACAGATATATTCTAGGCTAGGTGTCGAATTCTATGTTTGTAAGTAGACTTACTAATGTTAAAACCATATACATCAAACGTTTCATTAAACACACGACAGCACAAAGTCCACGGTTCGTTGAATCCATAGTTGGTCCGATGGGTAGGTTGCCACAGAAGCGTGTAACTACGTAGAACTCTTTGAGGAGCATTGATGTAAATTTGGCTCACAAGAGAGTTGCAATCCACGTCACCGTTAAGCAATCAAAACACGAAGAGTCGCTGAAGTAGTTTCCACCTTCCTGCCAACGTGTCCAGGTCAATCAGCCTGCACCGTTCTTCGTAAGGCGGCAAATTTACCGAATCGTTCCAGGGCAGAACACGTAAAGCGTATCTTATGAAGTTTCGCTGAATGGCTTCGATTCTGTTAGCTTGAATATCGTGAAAGGGTGCCCACATACTCTAGAAGACTGCGGACGAGAGCACAGTATAGTGATTTCAGCGCGTAGATGTCCTGGAATGCGTTTGTGTTTCGTTTCAAGAAACCTAATGTGGCGAATGCTTTAGCAGTTATCATGGAGATGTGCTCATTGAATCTGACTTTAGAGTCGATGATAACACCCAAATCCTTAACTGAAGAAACGAAGAGCAAACTACTGAGTCCTATCCTATAGTCATGTCGTAAGGGCTCGCGTGAACAGCAAAAAAATATTGCGCAGCATTTTGTGACATTAACCTGCATACCGTTCAATGTACACCAGCGCAAAAGGGAATCAATATCCTTCTGGAGTGCGCAACAGTCAAGTCTTGACTTAATTGTACGAAAGATCTTTAAGTCATCGGCGAACATAAGTTTCGAAGAACACAGTCGACTACACAGATCGTTCACGAACAGGATGAAAATTAAAGGCCCCAAATGGCTACCTTGGGGAACACCAGAGGGTATCTCGAAACTAGGCGAATTAACACCGTTAATGCTCACATAGGCTGAGCGGTCAGTTAAGTAAGACTGTAGCCGCTTCGTGGCCCAGTTAGGTAATCCCATACACCTCATTTTGTCCACTGCAAGCACATGTGGAACCCTATCGAACGCCTTACTGAAGTCCACGTAGATCGCATCAACTTGTCGTCGTTTTTCAATGGAGTTGATCAGCGAGTTGACAAACACCATTAAGTTGGTTGTTGTAGAGCGTTTCCTCACGAAGCCGTGCTGATGTGCGGTAATTATTGGCCTAACCGCTTGATATACGACCTCATATACGATCTTCTCCAGAGCTTTTGGGAGGCAGCTTAGAATCGAAATTCCGCGATAATTTTCAACGTTGTGGATGTTTCCAGCTTTGTGAATAGGTGTGATGGACGCAACCTTCCACATTGTGGAAAAAACACCACACAGGTGAAGCGAGAGATGCAGAAAATTTCTTAATGAACGATGGCGGCAAACAGTCTGGACCAGGGCCTTTAGAAGGATCTACAGACGAAAGAACTTTCATCACCTCTTCAACAGATACATCCAACTTCGGCAAATGCAAGTTGTAATGAGCTATGCTGCTCATCCAGTCACGACGATCATCCGGAGAATGAGCGGGAGGGGTTATAGGACATATCGAATGGTATACCACCATTCCGCCTAAGTTTCTTCACGTAGGTCCAAAAAGACGATGGATCCCGCTTGTAACCCGACAGCCTTACGAGTTTCCCGTTTTTAGTAAAAATGGCTTAAGCGCCACTCCCGAGGGAGACCATCTACCGAGACTAGGGTTGCCCGACCATATGAGACCTTTCAGGGAAGGTTCTGTTTTTCTCAAATGAATGAGCGGGAAGCAAGTTGGCTGTTGATCGATTACTGTAAGGACGGGAATGCCCACGACCTATGGTCGTGAAAGAATCAAATAAAAGAATGAAGCATTCATGAAAACGATTTCTGCCACCGATGAATTGCTCTCGCGGATTTTATCATCACGGGCAGGCTTGACACAACACTTCGAACGGATCCCGTTCGAATAGAGAGAAATCCTGGCTGGTTTCGGGGCCAACTTCCCCAGTAAAACTCTGCAAAAACTTCAAAAGAAAACGACCGGAAACGTGAAAAAGCCTTACATTCGCTTTTCTAGATCAGTTTAGGAAATGATGAACAAAAACTTTTTATCTGTAGTGTGTTGGTTTATTGAAAACGCCTCCTATTCATATTCAAACTACCTCTTGTTCATGATGGTTTATTTTTGTACTTCTACGTTACCGACAATTTATTATTCTAGGCCTATCTCAAATTCATTCCCTCTAGTTAGCTATCCTTTTCTTCTTTCTTCTTCTGACGGTATTTATTTAGTGTGCGTCAGTCAAAACGTGCGACGAATGGTGTTCATTTTGTGTGTGCTACAAAAAGCTGTTTGGCGTTACCGACGCTTGCGCGGATCGGAATGGGTAACGGCTGAATGAACAGCGGCCACGCTAGCGGTTATGCTATGCTAGGGGCTTTAACTCACCATGCGCATGGGAATTTTGTGAACATGCATGTTACTCACGTTTTGACTCGCTACTTGCGTGGAGGAATTGGCGGTTGCTCGATGATGCCGGTTGAACCCACGTGTACCACACGTGATACTCCTACGGACTCCGAAACTATGCTACTGCGGACTGCACATAGCCGATGTAGTTTTCCAACTACGCCTCACACGCTGAGTTGTGGTCTTCTACCTAGACGGGGTACGGCCGTCGCATCGATGGTCGTCACCGTCGACGGGAAACTGCGGAAAGTGGTTGCCGCTGGAGAGGGAGGTCACCGGTTCGAAACCAGTGGGTTGCTGCTCACTGTGCCTAGGGCGCGGAAACCTTTTTGCTGCCCTTTTCCGGCCTCTGGTACCACCGGGTGTTCTTCGAAGCTGGAAAATGGGGTCGAAAACGGTCGCTGACTGATGTGGGTGGTGTGACGAGCTTCGCAACTTGCCACAAATCTGCCAAAGAGAAATTCCGTCGCGTGGCATTCAACATCTGCACACTGAACAAAGTTATGCACACAAAATTACCACGGTTTCAATACACCTTCGCACACTCCTAACCGCCGAACTAACGCACTAAGCACTTTCTGCTCTAATTTCGAAAACTAACGAACTAATCGAGGGAATTTATAAAGAAAATCTAAATTAACAAACTTAAAAACAATTTCACGTTTACTAATTCACCTTTAATTTCACACCACGGCGCGATTACTGAAACTCGGACCGCTCTCGCCTCTTCCACAAACCAGAACGAAGTGAAAGAATCAAGTCTGAAGGTCCTCAGATTAGGCGCAAGAATTGCAATCTTCGTCGCCGGAAATTACGTGAAATCAACGAAGTTGATTTTCACGAAGTTCAAAAAATCGCCTTCACGCATACTAATTTTTTGTAAAAATTTACGAAGGAAGGCATTCTCCTTCTATCAAGTTAACGCATATGCCAATTCGCTTCCCACCCGAAGTGCATGAAAGGATGGGACGGGTCAACAAATCCTGAAAGCAGAATTGTGCAGGTCGATGTCCGTGCGTTTACGCGTGGTTTGCTTAGACTCTTCGTTTGGCTATCGAATTGCGCTTTGGCGCCCGAAATGGTACAGAGAACTCATTTACCATCTAATGAACATTTCGGTGAGTGAACTTTTTGCGAACGCTTCATGCGTCAAGGGGTAATTCGATGGTGTTTGAAAAATTTCAATTAATGTACAACTTTTTACATTTTGATTTTTATAATATGGCACCTGCGTGAAGTAATCGCCTGTTTTCATCAGTCCGTTGTTTGAAAAGACGTTTCCTTGCTTTCCGTAAACTGTTTCGGAGGTTCCTATGTCCCGTGGTCCACCATGGTTGATTGTAGTGAACACAAAGGCAATGTCGTCGAATAGGAGTATATTCGTGGATGATATCGAAAATGGCATCATAAAACCGGAAAACAGCATCGTCAACGTCACAATCAGTCAAAAGCATCGTTCAGTCTATCGAGCCTATCCGGGCGTTGATAAAAGGTTCATTGCAGAAGTTGAAATCGTAATAACAGCGGTCC